CTGCTCCCTCTCCTTCGTCTCCTCTATTTCCCCATGGTCGGGATTGCGGCGCTGCTCCACGGGCGCGCCCGCGCGCACACGCATCCACCTGCATCCCTGCAAGGGCAGATGCCCGAGCTCTGCTCCTTGCACGGACGCACGCAGACCCCCGCGTAGCCCCTTTTGCTGCCCCTCCTGCACTGGGTTTCGGTGTCTCACACCCCTGATGTCCTCATATGTGCCGTACCCCTGCCGGTGATCCCCTGCTTGGCACGTTGTTGGGCACAGAGATGCACTGTGGCGTGGCACAGAGCATGGTGCAAAGCTTTGCTCCGCAGGGCTGGATGGAGTCCTTGGGGTGCCCGCGTCCTTGTGAGTGCCGTCCCCTCGCACAGCCCCTGAGGTCACACAGGAGAGGGTGACACCTGGCTCTGCTCCTGCCGCAGAGTAAAGGGACCAAAGGGCTGGGGGACAAGAAGCTGAGAAAATCAGAGTGCTTTTGTGCATCAATGGGAGGAGGTCACCCTCTTCAAGAGCACATCTTGAACTGATGTGGCTGTGACCTAGGCAGTGTCCCAGGGTGTTCAAGGAGGAGCAGGTCAGAGCTGGGGGACAACAAAGCAAAGGGCGAGAGCCAGCTTGGAGGAATGTGAAGGAGACTCGGTCTCCTCTGTTGTGCCTCTGTATCCTTTTGTAACCTCTTGATTATCAATACCAAAGGGAAGGGAATTTTTTGTGCTTCATCAGGGTTTGAGGTTGTGAAATAGAGACCTTTCACAGCTTCAGAGTGAGTGAATGGTTTTGGTATTTCCTCTTTGAATGTTATATGAAAGACCCAAAAAATGCTGGAAAGAAAAATCCAGCTGGCTGAGGTACAGGCAGTTCCCAGTTCTTCCCTGGATGCTTTGTCAGGTCCAGGCTGGGCTCTGCTCTCCCCTCTGCCAGACTGGGATCCAATGGGTGTTAATTCAGTACCCTTCTTGGATGTCCCCCAGTCCCCTCTAGGAGGACTGACTGCAGAGCATCCTTCAGCCCTGTTCCTGCTCTGCTGCTCCCCCACTCCTTCCCTGTACTCTGCATGTCTGCGGCTGGATTCCCCATGCAATTGCTTGGCTGGGCTGCAAACTTATAATTGATTCCTCTCGGTTGGATCGGATCATCAGCAGGGCTGGGGTTTGGATGGCACTTCCCCAGCTCCAAGCCCACGCAAACCACAAGCAACCCTCAGAGGGCTGAGTTGCAGGGATAAGGATCCAACAGGACGCCAAAACCCTTCCAGCCAGCAGCCAGACTCAGCCTGTGGAGTCTGGATGCCATCCTTCAGCATCTCAGCTCTGTGTCCAGCTGCCGTGTCCCTCCTTCCTGCTGCTCTTGGCCCCTTTCCCTCACTGCATCGCAATGAGTCATCTCTGCTGAGCTCACCCACTGGGGAGGGGGGGGGAGGCAGTCTGGATCCCTCACCTGGCACCACGCTGCGCAGGCACCAGGAGCATCCATTCTCCTGCCCGGTCCTTGGGCAGGCACCCAGGCCGGCACAGGCACAGGGTGAGCACTGCATGAGGGTCTGTGCTATGCTTCATGCCTGCTATGGGGGATGCATGCGGGGAAAAGAGCATGGCTGGCATCTCTAAGGATACCAGGATGTAAAGCATCGTTGGTACAAGATGCAGCAGCCTCCAGCCCACACTGTGCCTGCCCACGTCAGTGCAGCACAGCTGTGTGCCACAGCACTGCCTGGCTCACCGCATCTCTCCCCCCACCCAGGCTCATCTCTCGCTGGCAGCCACCTCTGAGCAACTCGTCTTCGGAAAGATGAACCCCACCGTCAGCATTGCTGTCATCCTGACAGGTAAGGCTCTGCGGGGTCTGACTTGAGGGGCTGCTCGGGCGTCCCCAGTGCTCATATTTCCCCTTTCTGCTTGCCTGTCCCAGTGCTGCAGGCTGCGCACTGCCAGATGATCCGGGACCTGAGCGCCTGCCTGCTGGGCCAGAGCCTGCGTGTGGACTGCCGCTATGAGAACAAGACCAGCAACCCCCTGACCTACGAATTCAGCCTCACCAAGGACAACAGGAAGCACATCATCCAAAGCACCATCAACGTTGCTGAGAACGTCTACAGGAACCGAGCTAACGTCACCGTGCACAAGAACCTGGTGTGCCTCTACCTGCACAGCTTCACCACCAGCGATGAGGGGGTCTACGTGTGCGAGCTGAGGGCCACTAACGACTACACTGGCAACCAGATAAAGAACATCACTGTCATCAAAGGTGAGGGGGCAGCAGGGCCTGGCCTCCAGTTCCTCCTTCCTACCTGCCATGGGCTCTGCAGGGCCAACAAAACAAAACACATCCCACTGTGGGTGTTCCCAAAGCAGGCACAGGCAGGGTTTGGTGTTCCCCAGGGTCTTTGCCCCCAGAATCTCTCCTGTTCCTTGAAGTGAAAGGGGAAATGGGCAGCGGGGCAGGGTGGGGCTGGCTGCATTTGTATGGCAAAGATGAGGTGAGCAGCAGGGTCCCAGCACCCTGTAGCACCAAATCCTAACCTCATTCCTGTGAGATCTCATTTTTCTCTCCCTCCTCACTCCCCATCCTCGCAGACAAACTGGAGAAGTGTGCCGGCTTCAGCCTCTTGATCCAGAACACTTCGTGGCTCCTGCTGCTCCTCCTCTCCCTGCCTCTCCTGCAAGCTGTGGACTTCGTGTCCCTGTGAAAGAAAATGACCCCCTGCACCCTCACGGAGCACCCCAGCCAACCCTCCTCCCCTGCCAGAGCGCAGCCCTTGGAAAGAGAAGATTTGGAACACACGAAACCTCTCTCTATGTTATCTCTATATAGCCGTGTATCTAACGCTAACCACCGTCCTGTGCTCAGCCCTGCCATCACGCCCTGCTCTGCTGCATGGTGGCTCTGCTAGGCAGCATCGCTGCTCCCATCCTGCCCTCCCTGCACTCAGGCTGGTGCTGGGGGATCCGTGCTTCTCCCACCCCTTAGCTTTTGGGGTTCTGTTTGGCCTGGGGAAATACAGCTGGATGAGCAGGTAAGGGAGGTGGTGGGAGAGCGTGGGGAGGGGTCCCGCTGCTGTGGCTGCAGCACCAGGTGACCCAGTGACTTCTGTCCATTGCAGCCAAGCTGGAGCCAAGGGGGGACCAGCCCATAGCTGTGACGAGAGCAGTGCTGCCAGCCCCACAGCGAGGCCTGCGGAGCCTCTCTGAGCTAGGCACAGCACCGTGCCCCCAGGGGAGTGAGCCTGCTTGGGGAGGGGGCTCCTCTGCAGCACCCCTCGGTTTTATTTGGGGAACATCTGGGGAACATCTGGGCTCCCCATCCTTCCCCATGGCACGCATCCCTGTTCTCCAACCCCATCGGACCGCTGGGAGGAGCCCGTGTGCCCCCTCCTGCCTCCCGGCTCCCTTTCAGCATCTCCCTGTCTCTGTTTAGGGGTAGAAAAAGGTGGTTAAGGCCATCCTCGGTCAAGCTAAGATGTTTCCCAGTGGTCAGCGAGAGTGGGGAGAGGGACCCCAAGCACAGCCCCAGCCTGTCCCCATGTGCCACGGGACCCCAGGAGACAGTGGATCCAGAATGAGCAGAGAGCTCTCCCAGGAAAGGGCACAGGGTAGGAGGAAGTGCTGGCAAGAGCATCAGCTCTGCGGAGTGAACCCCACACTGATCTCCTTGTGCAGTGCCTGACAGCTGAGAGCGATTCCCAGCAGCTGGTCCCCACTCTTTGCTTTTCTCCGGCCACCAAAAGCTGCCTCCCACCCCACTGCCTCCCACCCCAATGCCTGTCCCTGCCCGTTCCTGCCTGCTTGCTTGCTGTCTAGTGCTGCCCAGGCTGTGTGTGGCCAGGGCAGGGCAGAGCCCGGCCGACCGCGCGGACGCGTCTCCAAATCTCATTTTTTGGTGAACATTTGTAGTTGTTTCCACAGCTTGTCGTCAAAGAAATTCTGTTCAAGGAGAAAAAGAAAAAGAGAAAAAAAAAAAAAAGAAAAAGAAAAAGAAAAGCCAACCTTACAAAAAGCAACAACAACAATACACCTATCCTCCGGGAGTTTTCCTCTGTCTGCACAATAAAACCTTAGGTTGTGTGTTGGAGCCGTGGCCACCTGTGTGTGCGGCGAGGGGCTGCGGGGTGGGGGGGGTACGGTTTGCCCTGCTGGGGGGTGACCCCCTCCTGCACCCATCTACGCCTCCATTCCATACCAGAGAACCCTTCTTCTCAGCTCATTGTGAGCTCAGGGTTGGGGCAACCTGTGGCATGGGGAGAGGGGCAGAGTGGGGTAGGTACCAGCGGCTATCCCTGGGTACATGGGCGAGGGATCCCTTGGCACCCCATCTCCATCCTTCCCTGCCTGAAGCGTGAAGGCATCCTGCGAGCAGGGAGCATATTGGGAGTGGGGTTGGGCACACAGCGCATCCCAGAGCCACGGGATGTGCGCCACGGGGTGCATTCACCCCTATTGGTGACCCCATAGAAGTCTCTGGGAGTCACACCCAGGCGCAGACGCGTGGCCCTCCCTGTTTCGGGGTTGGAGCTGGGCAGCAGGGAGGAAGATGCCACCATAATTGCATCCCGCCTAATTATCATCAGCAGGTGCTGGCTGAGTCACTGCCACCGCGGTGCCGGCTCACCGGGGTGGGTCAGGCGTCTGGGAGAGGTGCCCAGGGTTGTGCCATGATGTCCCCCCGTGTCACCGTGGGGCCATAGGGGTGGGTGCACCTGGCCCCCACCCACCGTGCTCTTCTCCCTGTGATTTTCCTTTCCAGACCACCTCTCTGCTCCCCACTTACTCCTTATCCATCCTTTCCCTCCTGGTCCCCCATCTCCATCCCTTTGCCCACATTCACCCTTTACCATCCCTACAGCCCCCCGTGCCCCCTTAGCCCTCACCGCCTTACCGTAGGCCACCTCGGGCTCACGTCCCCTTTAAGCCTCCCCGAAGCTGGAATGCGAGAGGAGCATTTCGGCGCCCTGCGAGGTCAGATAAAGACGCTATATTTATCTAGCTGGTAACCTGAGCCCTGAATTTCTGCCGTGTGGTTTTTACTCGGCCCCGCAACCCTCCGGCACGGCCCCTCCGGACCATTCTCAACCGAGCCCCGGGGTGATCAGACCCTGCCACCAACTCCCCCCCACGCATCTGCTCTGCTTCAGCCCCAGGAAGCACCCCGAGGAGGGAGGACAGACACGAGGCAGCCCCATGAGCCACCGCTCACCCCGCACCGTGCCAACCTTGAGCCCCTGAGTGCGCACCCACTGGTGAGTGCAGGGAGCACAGGGGGATGCCGGCGCTAGGGAGGGGGCTGTGGGATGCCAGTGGGACCCTTAACTGCTCTCTTTTCCCTTTGTTTGGGGTGAAACCATGGGCAAGATGTTTTTCTGTTTCCATAGAGGGTGTTAACACAGGACAGCCCAGCACCATGCCCAACGCCTGGCCCCTGGGTGGGCAAAGCCATGTCCTGCGCACTTCCCCCCAGGCTCCCTGTTTTTTTTTTCCACCTGCAGACCTCAAAGCAATAACCTTGGGGCCTCCATCAGGGTTCCCCTGTGGGTTTGGGATTTTGCTGCCTAGGGGTGGCCCTGGAACAGTGAGCAGCCAGGTGGGGATGTGTCAGCACGGTGACGCCTGGCCGGCACACGTGCATTGAGTTGGGAGCGTTCTCAGGCTGTGACTGCGTGGGGAAAGCTCCCCCACCTCAGCTCCCTCCCAGCACCCTCGGCCCTAAACCAGATTGGAGCAGGCAGGGTGCTCCACGCGGGATTCCCCCCCATTGCCTCCTCTGTGGCAGCAAGCTGGGAGCTCTGCAGTAACCTCCAGGCTGGGACATTGCGTCTCAGGGCACAGGGACAAGGCTCACAGCCTGCGTAAGTGAGAAGCAGCTGAGCCATAACACCTCGGCCAGAGCCAGGGCTGTGTAAGCTGAGCTTACCCTGAGGCTCCACAGCCACCGAGGGGGAAAGCTGCCACCGGGGCCACCAGTGCGAGGCCTCCAGCAGAATGTCAGCCTCCTCAATGCCTAGGAGACCCATGGGGATTCCATTGGGGATGCTGGTTGGAGCAGGATGTGCTCCCCAACATGAGCATCCCCGTGGTGCTCAGACCGCTGGGTCCCCTTGGTGCTCATGGCCACGTGGCCACAGACCGGACATTCCCGTGCCTCAGTTTCCCCAGGGAGGATGATGAGGGCGCAGGAGGCCTGACTCAGCCATGCAAGCCCCGGGGCTTTGCTACGCATCAGGAAAACTCAGCGTTATTATTGGGCAGGGAGGGGCCAGGCAGGTCAGGAAGCGATGGGAGGAACCGGGGTTTTCTCACACCCCTCAGCTGCTCGGGTTCATGGCACGCTCTGCTCTCCCGCAGCCCTGGGGTCCACAGCGATGTGACATGGGGACAGCAAGGTGCAGATCATCCTAACAGCCACAGCAGCCCTACATGGTAAGACCTCTCCTCCCATGATACAAGTGGGTTCACCACTGTGTCCGGGGCGAGTTCCCCTTCTGAGCCCCACATCCCTGCACATATCAGCTCCCCACATCCCCAGGGCAGACAGTAGGGACTAATCCCATGAACTGAAAGCCCCTGTTGGAGCCACAGATCTCCAGCACCCTCACCCCAGTGCCCATGGGAGTGCTGGTCCTTGGCTGGGTCCCACATCCCCCAGCAAAACCCCACAGTATGCATTGGATCCTGGCTGGTGGGGCAGCTCTCCATTGGCACCCTCTGAGCCGGTGCTGGCACGGATGTGCTGAGGAGAGCCGGGTGTTGGTGGTGTGTTTGCCTGCAAGGGGATTATTCACCCCTTGGCCTCAGTTCCCAAACAGGTCTGTGCGCTCTGGCTTGCTCTCGCTTGTAAATAGTTTCCTCTTGCTGCTCCCTCAGCAATAGCAGCTGGGACACAGCCCAGGGCTGAGGAGGGAGGATCCCATGGTGGTTGCACTCAGTGACCGTCCCCAGGCCCAACTCTGCCCTGCATGGCAAAGTCAGGGCCAGGCTCCATCCCATCACCTGCACACTGCCTTGGAGTGGGGCCAATGCCCGCCCCAGTGGGGCTGGGAAAAACCTCTGAGCTGGGGTCATCTCCTGGGTGACAGGGGACTCTCAGAGCCACACGAGCCACTGTCCAGCCAGGGAAGGGACACGAGGCAGCACAGCTCTGGGACAGGTAGGGGACCTGCTGTCAGCACAGAAGAGAGCTGTCTTCCCTGTTTTCTTGAAGCTGGGGAGGTTTCTTGCTGTTCTTTGACTCTGTGCTTGTTCTTCATTTGTTTTGGGTGCCTCCATCCCCCTCCTGTCCCATGCATGGCTCTCCATGTGGCAGAAGCCACCACTCCCCATGGGACCCAGTGCTTGGCTGTTGCCCTGCCCTGCAGGCTGTCTGTGCCTGGAGACAGGGACACGGTGGCCACCTCCATTGCTGAATTATTGATGGCAGGCAGGCAGGGTACCGGTGTGGCAGGGAGACAGGAGGTGTGTGCTGCAAGAGGGTGACCCCTGGCTGTCCCCACTGTCCCCAGTGCCCCCTGATGGGTGGTGGCTGCAGCTTGGCCCCAGGCACCATGCAGGGAGCGGGGATGGATGATGAGGACTCCTGTGCTAACAGCTGTGGGACAGCATGGCAGCAGTGCTGAGGCAGAGGCATCGGCTGACCACAGGTGCCCATTGCTATGCCCAGTGCAGCCCTACTCCAGTGCCCAAAGGCACACAGTTGGCACCGCTGGTGTCTCCCTGCTGCCCCAAGGAGGGCCGGTAGGCATTCTGTCCCCTGTGTCTCTGCAACCTCCTGCTCACCCCTCACAGGGTCTCCAGGTCCTGGGGTGGGTGCTGTCTGATGTCGGCCGTAGTCCAAGCGGCTGAGCCCAGGCCTTTCTCTTGCAGCCCATGCCTCCAGCCGAGCCCACTGAGCCCCAGCCTCCAGCATGTCCCAGCTCTCCTCCACACTGAAACGGTACGTTGACTCGTCCCGCTATGCCGAGAACACCTACAGCAAGATGCCCAGCGGCTACAGCTCCTACACCTCCTACGGCTCCACCTATGCCTATGCAGACAGAGACAAAATCGGCTTCAAATCCAGCTACCTGCCCTCCCCTCGGTACCACCACAGCAGACTGTCCCCAACCAGCGGCTATGACAGCTGCCGCCTGCCCCTGTACCCCGACTCCAGCATCCGCCTGAGCCCCGCTTACATCCGCACACAGCCGCCGGGCGGGGGGCTGAGCGGGGGCTCTTGCTACTCCTTCACCGGGACCCCCGGCAGCCCCTCTGGCTACGTGTCCACCTCCACACTTCTCAGCCGTCGCAGAGCCATCAGCCACTCGGACCTGGCGCAGGAGTTTTCGGGGCTGCACACGTCAGACAGCGCCTACGCATCCAGCCCCAGTGCTCTGTACCAGGCCGCCACGCGCTCTGACTACGTCCGCGATTACCTGCAGAAGAGCAGCCACTGCAGCCTGCCCTCCAGCCCCTCCAGCAGCCAGCTCTGTGAAAGGGATGATGGTTATGGCAGCACGCATGGCCCTGACCCCATGGTATGTGGCACGCGGTGGGATGGCGACACGATGATGCTGGTAGGGTCCGAGTGGGCTTTTGGGGGGAGACTGCATGGGATCAGTGTGGTGCAGGGATGGTGCCACGCAGGGACGCTGCTGCAGCCAGTCTGTCAATGAGTGCAAACCCAGTGGGTGCACATGGGAATGCTTCTCTGCAGCGCTGGCTGCATGGCATGGCATGGCATGCGGTGGCATGGCAGAAGGCATGGCAGCACAGCGTCACACGTGGTGGCACAACATCACGCCTGGTGACAGGCACTCGGGGCTCCAATAGGCACTGTGCCATCCCCAGCTATCGTGCACTCAGCCCAGCTCTGGTGTGCACAGCAGCGCTGGTAACTTTCCACTTGGGTCCCCTTCCAAGATCCCGTTGGCTCTGCCCATGCTGTCTCTCACTCTCAGTCCACCCCATGGTGGAGGTCGGTCCCCCCCAGCGCAGGGCCTGACCCCAGCTCTGTCCCGATGCTGTACACCCAGCAGGGAGGATAAGGGCTGGGGGTGTCACTTTTGCATTCCCAAGAGCAGGACGAGAGGCTCTCTTCCTTCAAGCCCCACATCCCCCCTATGCCCACACACCTGGGAGAAGTGCTGTGGGAGCATTCTGGAGGTGCTGTGAGACAGCAGGCAAGCAGGGAGCTGGATCGCTGACACCAGCTGAGGTTTCCTTGGCCTTTAATGTGCACACCTGCTATTTTCCATTCCTATGCATTTTTCCCCCCATTCCCAAGCAGGGAGGTGAACGTACCAACCGTAAAACAAACTGCAGGTGCCTGCGGTCACGTCAGGTGCCGGAAACATGTGCACCCCCTGCTACCATTGGTTCTGCCCCATTACACAGCCTCAGGGGCAGCATCGCAGCCGGGGCAAAGACGGGGCCGTCCCCATGCCTGCTCCCATCCCCTCACCCAGCGCCTTGGCACCACATGGAATGGAGGAGCCTGGCACCTCCATTTGTCATCCTGTGGGGCGCAGGGAGGTTTGTGCAGCTGCAGCGAGCAGAGAATTCATGGTGCCAGGAAAGGAAGGAGCAGTGCTGTGCCACCCCATTAACCGCCTCGTGGGGACATAGGGTCAGGAGGCCAAAACCAGCCACAGAATCACCGGCAGCTCTGCACAGCCCCATCCTGAGCAGCTGATGGCTCTGGCTCTCGGCCAGTCCTGCCATTGCAGTGCCAGCTCATGGCAGAAGGTCACCGCTGCCGAGGGGACAACTAGGACAGGTTGCCGGCTCCTTCACTTTCTGTCTGCAGCCTTGCCCCAGGAGCCTGCATCCTTCTCCAGCTATAGGAACAACCAAAGTCACTGAGGAATGAGGTTGATCGTGAGATGGGGCCCCTTCTGCCATCCAGCATCCTGGGGAGTGCTGCACCAGCACCCACAGAGCACAGCAGGCTCAGTCCTGACCCCAACCCCATGTGCTGTGCTGCAGGGCAGGGTGCTGTGCCTCAGCCCTAGGGTGCAGCCGTGCCCCACGTGGGTGGGATCATACTGTGGGGCACACGCTGATCCCAGCGGGGTGTGCACCCCTGTGTGCACACCATGTCCCCGTGTGTGTACAGTGTACACAGCACAGGCTGTGTATATATATATACATGAGTGCAGATTACGACAGGGCTCCTCTTGTGATGCAAAAAGCGCTGGCCCTGCAGATGAATAACGCTGCAAGATGCCTCCTCAGATATTTTTGCTGGTGCCAAAAATAGTCTCCTTCCCTGCTCCCACCCCCCTCCATCCCCATCATCCCCTCCAGTGGCTGTGCACCGCGGGCAGGGCAGGCTGCAGCTGCACCACAAGGGGTCCAAACAGCACCGCTGATGCGGGCTGGGGGCATGCTGGGGGCTGGCAGGGGGCAAAGCAGCCTCACTCCATGCCCGCTACATGACAGCCCGTGGAAATTTCCCTGTGCAGGTGGCCAGGACACCTGGGCACGGATGGTCAGAGGGGGGAAGCGGAGGGACGCAGGATGGGGAAGCAGGACGGGGACGCAGTTTGGGGATGCAGGTTGAGGATGCAGGACAGAGAGCTGGGCTCGCTGCCAGGCTCCTCACCTGCCCTTGCTGCAGGGGCAGAGCTGGATCTCTGCCTGCTCGGTGCCTCAGTTTCTCCAGTGCTCGGAGGGGAGTGACTGGGGGGGTCCCTGCTCCATGCCTTAGCGAAACAAGCAAGTCTGAGAAACACCCTCTGAGGCCAGTGCTAATGCAACCCCCTCCCCCCCTGCCCCGCAAAGGGGTGCAGCTCCCTGCCTGCCTCTCTCCCCGCACTCTCTCCCTAACACTGTCCCCGTGAGCTCCGCATCCCATTCGGATACCCTACAGCCCCATTCCATGGCTTGGGGGCAACTTTCCATCCTCTGGGAGCCCCGGGGAAGGAAGGGGCCGTGCCGGTAGTGCTCCCCACATTATGCCTTGGCGAGACGGAGCCCGGGAGCTCGGTGGACATCGCACGCGTCCTCCCCGAGGTGCCGCGCCCCCCAGCTCGGCAGTGGCTGCGGGCACGGCCGCCCCTCGCGGGCCCCCCTGGCTCAGGGCTGCCTGTACCACGCGGTGCGGCGGGGGCCGGCCGTCACGGAGCCCTGCTGCTGCCTCTCCACCCATTTGATGTCAGAGCTGCTCAGGTGCCGTCAGCCCCAAAGAGCCGGCATCGGCTCCGGCACCGCAACCGCCCGGCCACGGCGGTGCTCCGGCCCGGCCTGACCCCATACCCTTGCCCTCGGCCGGCCCGAGGAGAGGGGACCCTCTTGCCCACCCCCCCTCTGCCCCTCGCCATCTCGCTTTGCTCGCGGGGGGCACCATGCGGGACTCGTACACGGTGACGCTGCCCGAGGAGCCCCCTGCGCTCCCCGACCTTCACAAGGAGTTGCGGCCCCGCACCTCTATGCCGGGCTCCCTGCTGGTTTCCACTTTCGTCGGGCTCGTCCTCAACAAGACCAAGGTACGAGCAGCCCGGAGGATGGGGGCTGAAGAGGGGACGATGGGGAGGGGGAATCCGCTGTGAGCTTTGGGGAGCGCTGGGCTCCCCGCTGCCCCTCGCGGTGCACATTGCTGCACGATGGGGTGCGTGGTGCTGGGTGCCCATCGATGCCACCGGCGCTGGGGGACGGCACCTCCCAGGCAGGGAGCAGAAAGGGAGGTGAAAGCACGTGGCTGTGCACCAGGGTCCCTTGGTCAGCGCTGCCTCGGCCGTGACCTTGGCCCCATCCCATGCCCCCGTAGCAAGGAGGAGGCGGTGGCCGTACAGCGTGGTGGTGGCGTCACCGGGACACGAGGGAGCAGTATCTGGAGTGGGGAACCTCAAGGCGGGCACAGCAGGGCCGTGGAGGTCAGGGTCTGGGCACTTAGCTAAGTTGGGTTTCTCCAGCGCTTTGCTGGTATGCGGGCGGAGCAGGGCGGCCCGCATCCTGTCCCCATCCCCGCGCCTTGTCCCCTGTCCCCCTCCCGCAGTGCAGCCTCAGGGACTCCCCAGCCACCGCCGCTGCCGCGTGAGCCAGCTCTGCTCCGCCGCCTGTGAGCCGCGCCGTGTCCTAGATAAAGCCCCGGCCGGGCGAGGGGGATTAGCTGGAGTTGAGTCACCCAGGGAAGGGAAAACGTGGGGGGGAAATACGACCTTGGTGTAGCCACGGCTATGGCACGGGGGTTCTTGTGCATCCCTGCCCCATGGAAAGGGGCGGGGGCTGTGGGGCCATTGGGCCAGCTCCCTGCTACAGGCACTGACCCGCATGCAGAGCGCCGGAGCTGCCCGGCAGTGCCGCGTGTGCCCGGCACGGGGCACCTGGGTGCCCGCCGGTGCTGTGCCCCTGCGGCGGGTGATGCCTGCACCATCGCTATGGCACACGTGTAACTGTATCTGGGTTATTTTGGGCTGCTGTCAGGGCTGGGTGCTCAGCACCTCCCACACGCGCACCAGCTGCTGCTATTTTGGAGCTGACGGCCCCCTCCTCTCCTCCTCCTCCCCCTCCTCACGCCTGGGGGAGGACCGGGAGCTGCGGCCGTGATGGGTGCAGGTCGGGGAGGCTCACCCTGTCACCGCCCTCTCTGGACTTTATCCCACAAAGCAGCCATGCCGTGAAGGGTGGCACTTTGCACCAAGTGGGGTGTCCTGGAGGGATGGGCAGCAGTGGGGCACCCGCTTCAGCCGTAGGGCAGGCATTGAGCACGGCCACCCACAGCTTCTCAGAGCGTAGAGTTGGCAGGGGGAGGCAGGGGGTGGCCAGCCTGGCCCACAGGGCATAGGGCAGCAAGAAGGACTTTGAGCCTTGGGAGTCATCCCAGGCCAGGCACCGGGGTGATCAATGGGTCCTCAGGCTTCTCCTACACGTGGCAGTGCCAAGAGAGCCCGCAATGCCCCTGCGTGGCCATGTGGGACTGCCCCACAGGGCTGCCGGTGGCTCCACAGTTACTCACAGGCAGCCTGTCTCAGCCTTTCTCCTCTCTGCAGAGCTCCAAGGTGGTGCAGGGGCTGACTGGACTGCGGAACCTCGGCAATACGGTGAGTGCTTGTCCTCATCTGTGGGCACAGCCCTGGCCCCACACGCTGCCATTCTGTGGGCACATTAGGGACCCCGGCATCCACGCTCCCAGGGGTGGACAAATGCCTTCCCTGCTCCATCCCCTGCCCGCCCGCCCCAAGGTGCCCCCCTGCCACCACCCGCCTCCCTCCCTCCGCCTTACGTTGCCATGGTTTTCTGCCTCCCCCAGTGCTTCATGAACTCCATCCTGCAGTGCCTGAGTAACACCAAGGAGCTGCGGGATTACTGCCTGCAGAACCAGTACCTGCGGGACCTCAACAACAACAGCCGCATGCGCACCGCGCTCATGTCAGGTATCTGGGGGGGGGACAGGATGAGGACAGCTATGGGGCACGTCCACCCCCTCCCCATATTGCTGAGCTTCATCTCTGCACGCAGAGTTCGCAAAGCTGATCCAGCTGCTCTGGACCTCATCCCCCAACGACAGCGTGAGCCCCTCCGAGTTCAAGACGCAGATCCAGAGATACGCCCCACGCTTTGTTGGATACAAGTAGGGACTGGCGGTGTGGGGCTGGCGGTGTGGGCCTGGCGGTGGGTGCAGAGCCCCGGGGGTCTCTCACAGCCGTGCCCCTTTGCCTTGCAGCCAGCAGGATGCACAGGAGTTCCTGCGCTTCCTCCTGGATGGGCTGCACAGCGAGGTGAACCGCGTGCTGGTGCGGCCGCGGGCCAATGCTGACACCCTGGACCACCTCCCGTAAGCGTGGGGTGGGCAGTGGGGTGGGGGCTGGATGCCCGTGGGATCCAGCATGGCTCAGCAGCTCTGTCCCTCTGTGTCGCAGTGATGATGAGAAGAGCCGCCAGATGTGGCGGAGGTACCAGGAGCGGGAGGACAGCCGTGTTAGTGGTGAGCATACAGGCAGGGGTGGGGGCAGGCAGGGGGCTGGGGCCTGGAGGATCACCCTTCTCCATCCCCTCGCCTCCAGATCTCTTCGTTGGGCAGCTGAAGAGCTCGCTGACCTGCAGTGAGTGCGGCTACTGTTCCACAGCCTTTGACCCCTTCTGGGACCTCTCCCTGCCCATCCCCAAGGTGAGGTGTCCCCGCTCTTCCCCGTCCCCCTGCCCCACACAGTGTGTCCCATAAACTGTGCTCCTGACTGCGCCCTCCTCCCACAGAAAGGCTACGGGGAAGTCACCCTGATGGACTGCCTGCGGCTCTTCACCAAAGAGGACATTCTGGATGGGGATGAGAAACCGGTATGGGACGTGGGGTGGGGGCGCAGGGAGTTGCATGGGTGCAGGATGGGTCCTCACTGTACTGCTCACTGCCTGCAGACGTGTTGTCGCTGCAAAGCCAGGACGCGGTGCACGAAGAAATTCAGCATCCAGAAGTTCCCCAAGATCCTGGTGCTCCGTATCCTTTGTACTGATAAATGGGGTTGGTGGGGCTGGTGCGGGGTGGCAGCTCTTTGCAGGCTTCCCTTTGCTCCCCATCTCCTTGACGTGCCCCAACTTCAGACCTGAAACGCTTCTCAGAGGCCAGGATACGAGCCAGCAAGCTCACCACCTTCGTCAACTTCCCGCTGAAGGACCTGGACCTGAGGGAGTTCGCCTCGCAGAGCTGCAGTAAGTGCTTGGGCTGGGGGGGCAGAGCTCAGAGCTCACATGTGGGTACCACTGATGCTCACCCTGTCCCCCCAGACCACGCCGTTTACAACCTCTACGCCGTCTCCAACCACTCGGGCACCACCATGGGAGGACACTACACTGCCTACTGCAAGAGCCCCATCTCCAGCGAGTGGCACAGCTTCAATGATTCCCGGTGAGGCTGCGCGGGTGGCACGGGGAGGGAGACCTCATGTGGGCACCCCATGGCTCATAGCGCATCTCCCCACGTCTCTGCAGCGTCACCCCGATGTCCTCCAGCCACGTACGCAGCAGCGATGCCTACCTGCTCTTCTACGAGCTGGCCAGCCCATCCTCACGCATGTAGCCGGCCCCTGGGCACCCCTCAGAGCCTCCTACTTGGATTTTGGCACCCCAAGAACAGTAGAAAGCCCCGAGATGAGGGCAGAAACCAAGTAGCCCCGGTGCCTCCAGGCCTCTGGTGTTTGCTTTTTACCCTGGGGTAGGTTTTTCTTTTTTCTTTCTGATGTGTAATAAAAATACTGAGCAAGGGGCCTGGAGCTGCCTGCTCCCACCAAGGACCTTGGGGACACCCGGAGTTGGGTTCCCTTCTGGCATCTTCGTACCCCTCTGCCGTCTCCGAGGATCCACATGCCTCCTCACAGCTCCTCCAAACCTCCTGATGAAGGATTACAGCTCTTTGGTCACCTCCATCTGCTTTCTGATCGGCCCAGGACTCACGGCCGGGAGGGAGGACGATGTTTCGTGGAGTTTCTATTTATCAGAGACTTCTCTCAGCCTGGAGCATCCTTCCTGGCTGCCCAGGGACTCACGCCGGGGGGGCTGACCCACCTCCTTATACGACGGTGCCTTAAACCATTTCGGGGCGCGGGAGGCCCTTGGGGTGCACAGGGATGTCCGTCCTACAGGGGGGGTGAGGAGGGGTGGGGGGGTGGGCAGCACCTTTCCAGTACTGGGGCTTTCTTCCCCTCTTCACCAAGAGCCCCATGGGGTGCCTAGAGATGCTCACCTAACCCCACTGCTCCATCCTGCAGCTAGCAAACGCCAGTGGCCTTTTTAGCCTTTTCTCTAATTTATTCTCCTCCCCATCCCGCCCTGCCTGAGGTGCAATGGGGGGGGACACGTAACTGACCCAGCACAACCCCAGCCCCAGTCCAATCCAGCACCCATCCTGCTTTGGGCGTGGGCTGAGCCCCCCTGCCCCGATCACATCCCCTAGGGGCATCCCGGCAGGGCTGGGGGGCAAAGGTGGGTCCCGGGCTGGGGCAGTGCTACAGCTCGGCAGGTGGCTTGTTTACTGTGTAAGCAAGATGGGCAGGATGTGTCTCGTACAAGGGAGACTCGTGTAGGAATAAATTTTAGCTGGAACAGAGCGCTGTGTGCGTGTGTGCTTGGCTCAGGGCTCCAGCAGAGGGAGGGAAACTGAGTCAGGATTCAATCTAGAAGGAACCGTGACACGGGGCTCGCCTGCAGCAAGTGGATGTGGTTGTGGTGTGTCCATGGGGCACAGGGAGCTTCTCCTCCTCCTACTGTGCCCATGCTCTGCCCCCAAAGCCCTGAACAAAAGCCTCTTTCTGCCCAGCTCAGGCACAGACCTGTGGCATTAAAAGGCAGCAGGAACGCAGGCAGCAGCGCTCAGACAGCAGCAAGGGGGGACAAGAGGGAAGGAGGGGTGCACACCCAACACAGCCCCTCCAGGGCTGCCCCACTCCCACCAGCACCTGGAAAGCCATGTCCCCAGCCTCTGGGGCAGTCTTCCAGCTCTGGTGCGAGCACACTTTCCCCTTTAAGATGTGGGATCTCCGTGCCAGGGCCTGACCTCGGCATCCTCAGCTGAGCTGGATTAACGGGGCAGAGGGAAGGGGCCCACCGAGGAGAGCAGGGCCTCCCAGGGCTCCCCACACAGCCATAGGGCTCTGTGGGGCTGAGCACACGTGGGCACAGCCAGCACTGGATGCGATGGGAGCATCCAGAGAGCAGTGGGTGGAGGGATATGCAACCATGCTGCGGAGCAAAGCACTTTGGGGGTGCTTTTAAGTGCTCTGTACCAGGAGTGCTGCTACCATGAAGGACTTCACCGAAATCACGCTTTGCCCCGAGGCTCTGGAGCGCAGCAAGGTAGGGCTGGGGCAGGGGTGCCACCCGATGGGTCTCCACAGTGCAGTCCCCACAGTGCCACGCATCATTGCTTTCGTGCAGACTGAGTTCTGCAACCCCGTCTTTGAGGGAGAGGAGCCCCTGGCAGTGCCTCCAGCTGAGCAGCCACCGGACGAGGATGGGGTGGGAGCCACATCACCCCAGGATGCCCTCGGTACCTGCATGGAGTTTGTACATGCGCCCGTGTCCATGGGGCCACTGGGAGCCCAGCCATGGGGTGCTCTCTGTGGGGATGTGGGGATGCGTGGGGAGTCGCTGGCATTCTGGGGACGAGAAGCTGGGCTCAGGGGGTGGCACAGGGCCGGGGACACGGCAGCACCCCGCTCTGCCCTCTCTCCTCACCCTCCCCAGGCCGGCAGCTCTGGGTGCAGGCGGGCTGGCAGTACCGTGCCGACTGCAGGTTCACCTGGCTCTGCGTGGCTCTGATGAGTGCTGTTCTCCTCTTCCTCATCGCCCTCCTGCTGGGCATCATCATCCACCGTGAGTGCTGTGAGCAGGGAGAGTTGGGGGAACGTGCCGTGACTGGGTGGGCTTTCAGAGCTCCCTCCCCACACTACATCCACCCCCCTTGGCGCAGAGCTGACATCCCCACCACCACCTCACTCCCCGGCTGCAGCCCTGCCCGCCCGCAGCACCGCCACCACCACTGTGGCACCCAGCCAGAGAGACCCCCAGGACCCCAAAGCCTCCCCCCCAACCCATGGCCGACCACCTGCAGCCAGCACTCCGGCACCAGGTAAGTCCCCACGCGGGGGACACACCATGGAGGCCATGTCCCCATGTCCCTTAACCCAAACCCGTTTGTAATATGCAGCGTGCGGTGGGACCCTGCGTGGCCCCGAGGGCTCCTTCAGCTCCCCCAACCACCCCGACCCCTACCCACCCCATGCTCTCTGCATATGGCACATCGAGGTGGCAGCTGGCATGGCCATCCAGCTGACAGTGGATGTGTTCAGCGTGGAGGGCACCGCCTCCTGTCTCTTCGACCGGCTGGAACTCTATGAGGAGCAGGGGACCCGGGGGGGCACTGCCAGGTAGGGCTGTGTGTGCCCAAGGAGGGGGTGGCATACCCAGGGCTGGTGCAAGCAGCGCTGCTACCCCCACTGTGCCCCCAGGTTCTGTGGCAGCGTGGTCCCCCCAACCTTCAACAGCATCTCCAACCACCTGCGTGTCACCTTTGTCTCTGATGGCAGTGTGGGGGCACCAGGCTTCAGTGCTCGGTACCGTGCTGTGGCCCCCAGTGAGAGTGAGTACATCATGTGGGTTGGCCTCAAAATACCCAGGGGTATGGATGTGGGTATGGGTATGGATGTGGATGTGGGCATGGATGTGGGTATGGGTATAGATGTGGATGTGGGTATGGATGTGGGTATGGGTGACCAGCCCAGACACCTGCACTTGCTCCACAGAGAGCTGTGCATGGGATGAGCACTTTTGTGACCAGGGGCTCTGCATCCACCTGGGCTTTGTCTGTGATGGGTTCCACGACTGCGAGGATCGGAGCGATGAGGCCAACTGCAGCGTGAAGCACAAAGGTGGGACGGCAGCGTGTGACCCCCTCCCCCCCCCCCAGCCCTAGGGAGGTGATGGTAGAGGGAAAAGGGGGCACAGCTGCCATGTGTGTGAGTGCTGTGTGTGTCTCCAGAGTGCGGGGGGCCGCTGACCGCTCTGGAGGGGCACTTCTCCACCCCGAGCCACCCCCAGCCATACCCACACCAGCAGGTGAGAGAAGGGATGTTGGGAGGAGGAGGAGGAGGGCAGGAGGAAGGAAGGTCTCCTCCTGTCAGGGAGAGCCCGTGCCCCTGCCCGGCTTCACGGCTCTCACGGCTGTCCCCATAGCTGTGCCTCTGGCAGATCTCTGTGCCCCTGGGTCACATCATAGACCTGCACTTCCACAACTTCAGCCTGGAGTCACACGAGGACTGCAGCTTTGACTTCGTGGAGGTTCACGACAGCGCAGGCACCGGGACTGCCAGCCTCATGGGCAGGTGTGGGTCCTGTGGCTCAGATGGGGAAACTGAGTCACACAGCGGGATGCTGAAGTGAGCCAGAAGATGAGGTTTAGGGTTCTGCACACCCAATGCCATCTCTTGCCCCATCTCCCTGCAGGTTCTGTGGCCACCAGCTGCCACCCGACCTGACCTCGTCACGCCACATCATGACAGTCCTCTTTGTGGCAGATGAAGGAGTAGCAGACACTGGATTCTTTGCCACCTACCAAGCCCGCAATGCTACAGAAAGTACGTAGGCAGGGAGCAGGGTGCCGGGGGGGGCTGTGTGGTCTCCATCCTTGTGGATTTCCAAGGCCAGGCTCAAGGAAGCCCAGGTTTTCCCCCACGTCTGACCCTTCTTGGAGCAGGAGCTTGGGCTGGAGATTCCCCGGCTCTGTGCCCATCCCATCCCCTGTTCTGGCAGAGACCTGCAGCCCCGCAGAGTTTTCCTGTGGCAACGGCGAATGCCGGGCACTGGAGTCCGTGTGCGACGGCTGGCACGACTGCCCCGATGGCACCGATGAGCTGAACTGTACTGGGGTCTCCTACCCTGCATTTGGTGAGTGCCCACGGCTGGGGGACCCCCCCCCACAGCCATCCCACAGCCACCACCTACCCAGGTGCACACCTGGAGGCCATCGGATCCTTGGTGATACATAACCCCTAACTCAACCCTAACCCTGCACCTCACCCTGCGCAGGCTCCATCTGCGAGCCGGTGGAGGTGGAGATGTGCCTGGGGCTGGGCTACAATGCCACCTCCTTCCCCAACATCTGGCTGGCCATCCCAGACCAGGCCGGAGCTGCCGAGGTGCTGCAAGACTACCAGGTGAGCTGCTGGGCTGCAGCTGGGTGCTCTGCACCGCACTGTGCTCACTGCTTCTCTCCTGCAGACGCTGATGGAGCTCGTCTGCTACCAGCACCTCCGCCTGCTCATCTGCAGCCTCTTTGTGCCCAAGTGCACACCAGATGGGGGTGTCCTGCAGCCCTGCCGTGCTGTCTGCCTGGCTGCTGAGCTGCGCTGCCAGCACTCCCTGGGTCTCCTCGGCATCCTCTGGCCCATCAACTGCAACATCCTGCCCGACTCCAACGACCCCGTGGAGTGCTTCCAGCCCTGAGATGGCGAGGGAAGAGGAGCGGAGGCCCAGTTCAGTGCCCAGATGCCATGGGCTTTTTGCAGGACTGAGTTCCCGGAGAGGGCATCTGAGCCCTCAGCAGCAGAGCTGTTAATGCTCCGTGAATGGAGCAGGGCTGGGCCAGGGTGAGCTGGACTACAGGCTGTCCCCCAGCCCCAGAGACAGCAAAATAAAAAGCATGAGCAGCTGATGGAGCAGGAGGTGTGTTTGGAGAGGGTCTGCCAGATTATACTGCAGAAATGGAGGCATGGGCTAAGAGAGGAAAGCCAGGAGCGTGGGCAGGAATAATAGGACACAGGACTGTCCCAGTTGCAGGGAGCACATGGGCTGGTTGCTGTGCCCTCAATGGGATGGGGGACCCCAGGGAGATGGATGGCTCTTGGAGAGTGTCGTGCAGGCATCTCCATGGTGCAGGGAGCAGAACTCACTCCAGCCAGGGCTCTGCCCTTGCTGGCCATGCTGGCACCAAGCCACCCCACTGGCCACAGCCTGGCAACACCCTGTGGCCACAAACCAGCTGGCCAAAACCAACAGCCCCTTCACACCTAGGGGAGAGCAGCCAGGTCCCATGCAAGCACCCAGCTTTTGGGTATGTGGGCCAGGAAGGCTCAGCCAGCAGTGTCACCCTCACCACTGCACCCTGCAGCATCCCTTGGATGCACTCAGTGCTGGAACAGATTCAAGGAGACCTGGGAGTGCCTTGTAAAGCCCAGCACCATCCCAGCTTCGTCGCATGCCTGCAGTCTCCCTGCCTGCTGCCTGCACCTGCAGTCTGCCGCATCCCTGAACCATGCAGCACCACGCCTGCACCCTCTGCAGCCCCCACGGGTGCTCCTAGTACTGGCACTGCCACACTGTGCGTGCCTCACTGTCCCTCTTGCCTTATCCCTTCTGCCAGGGACAAAGCGCCAGCCAGGGCATCACACACCTCTGGGACTCCCACTCCCTTCTCCGACTCTCTTGCTCTGCTTTCCCTCCGTTTTCTCTCATATTCCCCATTCCATCATGCTGTGCTGCTGCCCAGATGCCTTCAGCGCTGATGATTCTCATCCCACGCCTCCCCTCGCCCTGCTGGGCTGTTTGTCTGGCTCTCCCTTCCCCCTGCTTACAGCGCTTCCGACACCGCGGGATTATTTTTCTTTTTCCCCTTGTCTTGTAGTTTTTGGCTCCCGGGGCCCGTGATTTCCTTTGGAGTTTGGGAGGAGAGACGTGGGGAGGAGGGGGGGGGGTGGAGAGGCAGCCTCTCCTCGGGCCTTCGTCAGAGAGAAGCGGTCAGGAAGAGCAGCAGCCATCCCAGCGGAGCAGAGCGGGGCTTGGGGACAGGAGCAGGGGGACTGCGGTGAGTGGGGAGGCATGGACACAGTGGGGTCCCAGCTCTGGCACTGGGACAGAAAAGAGCCACATTTCTCCTCCTTTTCCTCTTTGCTGCAGCCGTCACGTCCAGGAGAGGGGAGAGAGAAACTTCATTAGGGCAAGGCCATGGGGAAAGGGATGGGGGCTGCGCCGGGGATGGGAGGGCTGTTGGGAGGTCCCAGCACCGGGGTGGTCCCAGCACGTCCCCGTGCGATGCTGCAGCCCCGGATGGCTGCATGCGAGGAGCTGGGTGGCTCGGAGCAGGGAGCCGGCCGTGGGGATGCTGCCAAGGGCAGGGCCACGATGCAGCTGCAGCTCCCGAGCTGCCGCCCCGCCACGCACTGCTGTCTACCAAAACCACAGCCCATGCACGGTGTCACCCGTGGGCATCCTGCCAGCAGTGCCCATCCGGCACCCAGAACCCTGTGTCGGCACGTGTGCACTGTTATTGCCTCCCCTGCCTGGTCCCCTGCTGTTTCTGGCACCGGCATCACCACGGTTTGGGTGGGCAATGGGGATGTTGCAGCAGGTGCAGGAAGCGCCTGCCAAAAAGGCAACTGGAAGAGAATTGAAGGCAGCTGCAGGGTGCCAGCCTTCTGAACTGGTGCCCACAGGAGTGTAACCTGTGTCCTGTGCCCATTCCCAGCCCCTGCACGGCAGACGAGATGAAGCAGCTCTTCCTCCTCTTCCTCCTCGGGCTCATCAGCAGCTCCATGCAGATTGAAGACAACAAGATCCCCAGGCAGTGCTCAGGGCAGCCAGGCATCCCAGGCACCCCAGGCTTGCACGGGGGCCAGGGTCTGCCAGGCAGAGACGGACGAGATGGCCGGGATGGGGCGATGGGGATGCCAGGAGAGAAGGGCGAGATGGGCCCACCAGGTAAGTAAGGAGTCATGTCAGTAGGGGATCCTTGCCATGGGAATGAGCTTGTGTCTGAACGCTGGCATTGCCCCATATTGCCAAGCTGGGAGGAAATCCCACAAAAATGCCCCTTTTGTGCTTCCACCACCCTTCTTCTGCATGGATGACTCTCCAAGAGTCAGCTGCTTGCCGCCACCAGCACCACTGCGTTTCTCCCTTCCTTCCACCTCCTGCTTCAGGAAACTTAGTGTGGGTACAACACCCATTCCTTGGCTCCTGGGAGTTGATCTCCTGCCCTTGTGGGGTATGTTGCATCCCCAGATAGAGTGACAGCACCCATGGGATGCTGAACCCCGCTGGGATGGGTCTAGGCAGCTGAGGTGGGGGAGCTCAGATGGCAGGGGTTGCGCTGGGGACAGCAGCTTCAAGGTTACACTGTCCCCTCTGTGATCCCTCCAGGAGCTCCCGGACCCCGTGGGGAGATGGGCAGCCCCGGCATGGATGGCATGCATGGCGAGAAGGGGGCACAGGGTGAATGTGCAGTGGCCCCCCGCTCCGCCTTCAGCGCCAAGCGTTCCGAGTCCCGCAGCCCACCACTGGCCGACCAGCCCATTCGCTTTGACGTGGTCCTGATCAATGAGCAGGGCCACTACGACCCCAACACTGGCAAGTTCACCTGCGAGGTGCCCGGCCTCTACTACTTTGCAGTCCATGCCACTGTCTACCGCTCCAGCCTGCAGTTTGACATCATGAAGAACGGGCACTCCATCGCCTCCTTCTTCCAGTACTACGGGAACTGGCCCAAGCCCACCTCCCTCTCTGGGGGGGCTCTGGTTCGCCTGGAGCCGGAGGATGAGGTGTGGGTGCAGGTGGGAGTTGGGGACTACATCGGCTTCTACTCCAGCGTGAAGACAGACAGCACCTTCACTGGCTTCCTCGTCTACTCCTACTGGCAGAACTCCGCCGTCTTCGCCTGAGCGCGAGGCTGGGGATGGGGACCCCATGGGCATCCCTTGGGGATGGGATCTGGCCATCTGGAAGCCAGGATCCTCAGCATCCTCCCCTTGCTCTGCTGCGACTTCATAGCCTCGTGCCAGGCAGGGGCACGCTCTCCCTGCCACCTTATGAAGCTCTGTGCCAGAGCTAAGCGTGATTGTGGGCACCCAGCTTTGGGGCTCTGTGCCCATGCCGGGGAGCTGCAGTGACCTGATGGCCACGTTGTCCCTGTGCACGCAGCACCCCCCCGGCCAGCTTCTCCCTGCGGGCTGCCTGGCCGCTGGCACGGCGAGGGGCCCGTCCTGCCAACCCCTGCCATATCCCACAGTGAGCCCGTGTCACCGGTGTCCCCGTCCTTGCCCCTGTCCTCCAGCCGCCCCTCTCCTCCTTCACCCGCAATAAAAGGGTCTTCATCTCTGCGCCTGCTGCTTTTCGGCCCTTTCTAGGGGTCGGAGGGGAGGCTGGCACCACTCGGGGGGCTGCACGGAGGGATGCCGGCTCGCAGCGCGGGGGACTGGACGCCAGCAGGCAGCACAGCCAGCGGGAGGCCGCTAGATGGAAGCATCGGCATCCCTTTGCCTCCTCCCTCCTTGTGAGCCTTCCCCTAAACAATCGAGGGGAGGGAGGGGTTGGGGAGGGACTCCTCGCCCAGACCCCCGATCTCGGCTCCCTGCAGTGCGCAGCGTTGTGTCCGGGGGTCGCGTCCCCGCAGGGACCCACCCCCTCCCCAGGTGCCATGGGACAGGCTGGGTGCCCTGACCTGGCTGGGGACACGGAGGTCGGAGCAGGGAGAATTGTTGCCTCCCACCGTGTCCAGGACTTCGAGAGTTCGCCAGCCCTCTCCCATCCCGGGATACAGTGTGAGAGCAGTGATCCACATGGGAGAAAGATCCCTATTTTTAGCCGTGGAACGAAGAGCTTCCTCATTCCTGCCCAAAATAGGTCCTGCGGGGATAGAGGACGAGCAGGGAGGGGGCTTTTGGCCGGGGGCCGAACTCCTTCACTAGGCAGCCGTGCTGCCCATCAGGCCGGGGACAGCGGGACGAGCAACCCCGCAGCGCAAGGAGCGAACCCTCCAGACCTCGGGACCGCGCAGGGGCCCGGAGCCAAGGGAACATCGCTGCATCACGGCTGGGCACACAGAGCACAGCAGTGCTTGTGGGACCACACATAGCCCCACTTGTAGAAGCTATGGGGGGCCAGGGGTGAGAGCTCGCTCCCCACGGGAGCCCTGCAGCTCCCTCCCAGCCCCAGCCGCAGGGTCGCGTTGCAGCGGAAGCGGCTGTTTGGGTTGAAGATGGCTTTTTCTGTAAGCAGAGCCGCTCAGGGATAAACAACGCGGCAGAGCAGATCGATGGTCGGAACTGTCTATTCTGGGAGGAGGATAATGACTTTTCTTGGGATGAGGCCAGGGGAGGTACGTGGGGGCTGGGAGCATCCTCCAGGCCCCATCATGATGCGGGGAGCAGCGCTTGGTGCAGCAGCTCTGGGCTCTGCTCTCCTTGAGATGCTCTTTTTGGCCAGGGTGCTTTGTACGGGGTCAGTGGGGGACTGCTGGGACCCCCCCCCCGAGCAACATAGAGGTGCCCACAGCTGCCTAGGGAGAAGGACAGGGAGGGGATAGGGTTAAGAGGAGCCACAAAAGGCTTTAGTTTGTCTCAATACCTAGCAGTCCCTAATGAACTCCAGCAGCTGCCCCTGAGGAAGGAGTGGCCACAGCCCCTATTCCACCTGCACCCAGGTTGGGGAAGGACCACCACCCCTTTGGCCAGAAGGAGGGTGAAGCTGCTATAAGAGGAGGGTGAGCAGATAGGTCTTGTTGTGCAGCTGACAGAGGTGGCAGCTGGAACAGAAATGTTTATTTAATTAGAAACAAAAAAATAAAAAAAGAAGTGCTGGCAGCCCTTCCCGGAGCAGCACACTGCTTCTTGGCCACAGTAAGGTCACAGTCTTCAGCTGGAGGCTTGGACC